AGATCAGCCCAGTGTCGGGTAAGAGTAGTGTGGGTCTGTGGTGTTTGTGCCTGTGACCGCTCCTATCCTCCCTGCTTATCCGTGGGCAAGCTCATTCATCCAGGGCCGAGAAGGTTGTGACAACTCCCTGCTTCATCATCACTCCTAGAGAAAACTCAAACGGTTCTCAGAACTGTCTGTTAAGGGAAAGGCTTGATGGCAAGTGGCCTCTTGTTCAGCCAGCTTAAAGTTATGGGCCTCTTTGCTACGAGCAGAGGACAGGCCAACTTGCCAGAGATTTAGCAGGGAATTTTCTAAGCACTGAGGCATCAGGCAGATGGCTTGATAAATCTCCACATACCCTGAGTTGGCTGCAAGTGGTATGCATACATAGAAGACTGGAGTAGGCCCAATTTAACCCGCATACACCTGGCTGGTGGAGCCTGTAAACACAGAGGAGCTGGGAGAAGATCCAGGAAATATAGGAGAAAGTGAAGGGGGTGGGGGTGAGAGGACACTTGAAAATAACCAGAACTTTGAATACTTTCCTTGACCCATACACAAATCCATTAACAGATAGTAAATATCTCTCTGGCAAAAAAAAAAAAAAGAATCTCTCTGGCTTAATGTGTTTGAACAAACCCATAACTAGTCTTTGAGCAGAACTTTTACAGATACAGAAATGGCCTCTAGGAAGTGATTCTTGGAATGCGAGAAAATTTGAAAAATTATCTATATTTAGTCTGGGAAAGTTACCTTTGAGAGGGAAGTCAGTATTAAGAGCTGCTATCATATATTATCTAATATTTCAATGCTCAACAAAGTATAAAACATGGAAGGAAGAAAACCTCGTAATTGGAAGGTGAGGAGGAAGCATGTGATGAAAGGTTTTCTGACCATCAGCTGATACCCAGTTTAGGGGGCAATGACTTCACAAAAGGAAATGAAATCATGCTGAGAGAATTAAATGATAAGTTAAGCTAATAAATTATACATTATATATAAAATTAAAGGAAAGCATTAAGTAATAATTTGAAGACAGAGTTGCAAAATAGTAGAAAGTACTGAGAGTTGAACTGATCAATAGTACCAAACTGGAAAATACTCTAGAAGGGCTCGATTTTAGATTTAAATGGCAGGAAAAAATATCAGTAATTTTGGATCACTCAATAGAAATTATCCCATCTGAAGAACAGAGGACAAGTGAACAGAGCCTCCGAGATATGGCACAGCACCCAGCATACTAATAAATGTGCCATGGGAGTCACAGGAAATGAGAGGTTAGGGAATGCAGGGGGGAAAAAAAAGAAAAAACATTGATTGGAAACTTTCCAAATGTAATAAAAAACAATATGGCTCTGGAAAGTGAAATGAATCCCATATAAGATAGTTACAGAAATCCATCATAGTCAAACTGGAAAGACAATGAGATAATCTTCACAGTACAAAAGAAAAACAAAAATACTGATTATGAATGGTGGGGCAATGGGGCAACAATACAATTCATAGCTGAGTGCTCATCAGAATTGAAACATACTCAAAGGAAACAACAAAAATTGCTAACAATAAGTTTATTTCCAGCAAAACTATCCTTCAGAGATGAGACACTATCCTTTACCCAGTGCTGCTGTTGCAGAAACACGTATTTAAAGCACAGAAATGCGCTCTCTCTCATTTCTGAATGCTAAAGGTTCAGATTAGTCTCTTGTCTGTTTCTTTCTTATTGGTAGCCCTTGGTCTTCTTTAGTTTTTGGTGTTCCCTAGCTTATTGATGGTCTCACATGTGTCCTTGTCTGTTCCGATCTTCTTACAACTTGGAAGAAATTAGGTTTGGGACCCATCCTGCACTGGAATGGCCACATTAACATAATTAAAGAAAAGCCTTGTTTCCAAAGGAGATCACATCCATCAATACAGGAGTTTAGATCACAGCACATATTCTGCGCTATTATTCAGTTCATATCATCATTAAAAAACAAAACCCAAAGTGGACTCTGGGCAAACTGTAAAGCTAAAACTTTAAAACATACAAGCAAACACACACACACACACACACACACACACACACACACACACACACACACACACACACACACACACACACACAAACACACAAGAACACGTAAGAGACATTCTTGAGCCCTGGAGCTAGGAAAAGAGTTCATACGTAGGATTCCAATCACAGAAGTCACCAAAGGAAAGACTGATAAATTTGACTTACTAAATTTAAAAACATTCCAAGGACAGAATTTGAAAGTAAAATATATACCACAGATAAAGAGAAGATTTTTGTATAAATCATTTATCTGGTAAGTGGTGTATAATCTGAATATATAAAGAATTCTTACAACTCATTATTAAGACATCTAATCCAGTTTCAATATTGGCAAACTATGAGTAGACATTTCCTTGGATACGACATAAAATTAACTAATCAAGGTGCTTGACTTCATTGGACATTATGAACATCCACAGGTAAACGATAATAATGAAACCAAAAAGCAGAATTCACTGCCACCAAGTTGATGCTGACTCTCAGCGACCCTGTAGGACCAGGTAGAACTGCCCCTGTGGGTTTCCGATGCTGGGACTGTCTACAGGTATAGAGAGCGCCATCTCAAACCATAAAAGTAGACTAGAATCTTTATTAGCCAAGAAGTAGTAGCAGGAACTGGTGCGGTTGCCAAGACACTTGAGTTCATTCTTGGCTGATAGGAATATGAAATGGTACAGCTACTTTGGAACACATGTAGACAATTTCTTTAAAAGTTAAACTTATTTATACTTAGAGCATATTTGAAGTCTCATTAGTCACATGTGGCCAGGGGCACTGCCTGTTGTCAGAGACATTGGCCAACTAGAACAAAGCCCAACCCACTACCTGTCCTTGTAAATAACATTTATTTGAAAATACAAAAATGGACATGCAGAATTAAATATAAATTTACCACGTGACCCAGCAATTTCACTCCTAGGAGTCTGTCCAAGAGACATGAAAGTATATATGAATGTTCATGTAAGCATTATTTTAATAGCTATTAACTGGAGACAGCCCAAATGTCCATCTTCTAGAGACTAGAAAAGGTGTTGTCAGCATGCCCTCCGGTGAAATTGTTTGAGAGATGAAAATATCCTAAACTGGGTTGCTGTGATGATTTCAGACTGCTATATAGTATTAACAATTATTGAATTGTATACTCCCCAACAGTGAATTTTGTAATATGCAATATAAAAATCCAAAACCTGTTGCCATTGACTTGATTCCGACTCATAGTGACCTTGTATGGGTTCCAAAGGTGTAAGTCACTCTGGAAAAGATAACCTCATCTTTCTCCCACACAGCTGCTGGTGAGTTTGAACCACCGACCTTATGGCTGGCAGTTCATTGCCTACCCACCAACATCACGAGGGCTCCTTACTATGTAAAATGTGTCCTGATAAACTTATTTGTAGATATATATGCATATATATACATAGCACATCTATATAAAGAGAACATGATAACGTAAATAGGATAAAATAACACTCAGTATACATACAGAAAATCGAATTCCTGTGCCTATCTTTAATATTTTCTGTAAGTCCGAAATAACTTCAAAATTTTCAATACAAAGAAATAACAACGTTCTGATTTGCTTGCTTTTATGTTTTGTAAACATAAGTTTAGAATTTTGTCTTTGTTTTGAAACGTTTAACCCTAAAGTATCATTTTCTTCCAATTTTGAAGACCTTATTCCCTTGAGTTACTTTTCCCCCAATCGTTTTGAGATGTAATGCACATATGACACTCCCATATTTCAGTCGTGTTTAAAAGGGTTGCATAGACATTACCATAAATGAGCTCTAGTGCCTCCTTCCACCTTCGGCATTCCTTGTCTGTCCCTCGGTTCTCCTCAGCCTACCCCCACGGGCCCAGGTAAGCTGTTGCATCCATTATTTTCCCCATACACCCATGCCTCCTGTGCCTGAGGGTAAAGTGGGAAACATCCCCAAACAAGAAACAAAAGAAAACAGAAAAGAGCGAGCCAAAACAGTATAGCCATATGTATGTGTGTGTATGTCATGATATCCTATAGTTCCATCCACCATAGTCAATTTCACAGGAACCTCTGTCTGATAGCAAGGCGGTTCACAGCCCTGTACTGTGGTCAGAGGGGAACTGCCCGAGGCTTAGTCTGCAAAGGTACTCTTGTAGGTGGACTGGGGACTGCCCTCCGTAGATTTCTGCAGATTGAGGGTTCACAATGTAAGCTCTGATACCGTTCCCTCCTTCATGTGAGGACTGTGTTACTGTGGTCTTTGGATCACACAGGCTGGTGTGCTTCCTCAGTGCGGACTTAGTTTGATGCCTCATTGAGATGGCTGCTTGCTTGAATACCGGCCTTTAAGACCCCAGCCTATTCTTTTTGATAGCGAGGCACCATCTGCTTTCTTCACTACACTTCGCTGTAGCACCCCCATCTTCAGTCTCTCTGTGATGGCAAACATCAAGCAGGGCCATGCCACAGCATCTCAAAGTTCTTGGTTTGGGGCAAGAGTTAAGTGGGAGCCCAGAATCCGTTCACTTATCTATAATTATGTACAGCTCTGTTTCATTTTAGAGGTCCGATTTACCATTTATTTTGAGCAGATAACCTGCTTTTGCTTTTTCATTTTCCCTCCAATACAGTTGGCAAGGAAACCCAGTGCTTGTGCATTCTCTTTTTGCTGTGTGCATGTGTCTAGTCTGTTATGAAGCATTCATACCTGTGAAATTGCATTTTATGGATATTTCTGTGTCTCTTAGTTTTGCAGATATCATTATAAGCGAGGCACTACTGTCTCTAGGGGTGAAGCAGGGCCATTTTCCCCTTCTGATGCTGTCGCCTAGTCCCACATGTTTACTTCTTCTGTAGCTTCATGTTTGTTATTTCATAAACGAAAAGGTTAAATGCAAATATTGACACACTGGCTGAAAGCAGTAAATTAAAGTGAGATTTTGTGACTCATCCTAGTGTTCAATGATGTGTCTTGTTTTATAGGTCACTCTGTGAGACTGCTGGGTCCGAAAAAAGATAATGGAAAACGGTTGGGGGGCGCACGGTTGGATTTGCCGAAGATTAGGAAGAATCCACTGATAGAAATCATTTCCATCAATACTGGGTAAGCTTTTTTCAAACTTGCTCATGTAACACTGTAAAACCTGTAAGAGCCAGCCCTCGTGTTACTTGTGTATTTTTGTCATTAAACTCCACCATTCTTCCCCCCCTTGCCCTGGATATGTCACATAAGTAAGTAGTTGAATATTTGTGTGGGAAAAGTAACCACACGAGAACTCTGAAGCACTTGAAGATAGGTGTTCCTCAGATAAGAAGGGTCCATTTGATAACTCCATCAACGTTGGTGCTGACATAAATTGAATGCTTACTTCAGTTTATTTTTTAAAATTTTCGTGATGATTGCCTTTTGTTTCAGGATCTTTATGACTCTGATCGTTGCTTTGGGACACAGGTAGCATCCATACACACATGAAAATAATACACCAAGAACGAAGTCCCCAAAATGTACCATAGTGATGAAATCAGGAACCATTCCTTCTGAGTGGTACAGAAGGCTGAATCATTAGACCGCACTGTAGGCAGGGCTGGTCGATCAGGAAATTGGTTTTGGGGTTGTTAAGGCTCTCAGATGTGTGTGTGATTCAATTGTCCTGTGTCGTTAGAGCTCAATATTGCCAAACTCTCTATCTGACATGAGTCCCAACACGGACCTAGACGTCACTGTAGAGCAGGTGGTGGTCTGCTCCATGGAAGTGCTTTGCACAGTAGATCATAGCATTGAACATCTGCAAGTGGACATCCGAGTACAATGACCATAGCAGGTTGCATGTTGCAATATTATATGTAGTATGTATCACCAAGGATAAGATGCCCACAAAACAAAAAGCAGATGGTCATAAATGCGTTTCCGTGTAAATTGAATACATCGTCAGGTTGCTGTCAAGTTGGGAACTACCCATGTAGATTCCTGTAAACGGTCTCCTGCATGTAAATTGCACATAGATTTGCAGCAAGGTTTTATGTCTTTGATTAATTTCATTTTCACTTGTTATTTTTGAAAATAAACATAAATTTTTTAGCTATGATCTTGATTTAAGTGATTTAAAAATATTTCTTTTCAGAGCATGGTTAACATACCATCCTCCTGCTCTGTGTTTGCAATAAGGTCGTGGTAAATGTTGCCTACAGTAACTGTGCTCTGATGATTAAGTGCCTACTGTAAAAAAATAGCGCCCACGGCCTAACGCATCATGCCTAAAGTTGAAGTGCTCTTGTCACCTCGCTGCTTTGGTTTGAAGTCATTCTTGACTACAAACTCTGGCCTAAAAACAAAACAAAACCCATTGCCACCCGGTCACTGCCGACTCTTGGCGACCCTCTCTGCAGTTTCGGAGACTGTAAAGCTCGATAGGAGCAGACAGCCGCATCAGCCTGCTGCTGAACAGGACTTTGAACTGCCGGGGTTGGCCGCTCAGTGCTGAACCCACAGTGCTCCTTACTCTATGATTGGTAGTACTGTTTTTATATTTACTGAATGCTTTTCGCTCTTACTTCATCGAGGAAACCATATGACTACAGAACCCACTTTATATTTTAGTCTGGACATTTGATGAGGCTAATCCATTTCTTAAATCACAGAGATCCTTATGCACCCAGATAACCACCTCTCCTCTCCCACAGATTTAACTTGTCTGGTTTCCTTTTGAAAGAGACTTTGTGGGTTAAGCTACAGACCATTAGCCACAAAGTCTGCAGTTCAAACCCAACAGCTCAGGAGAAAGGTGAGGGTGTCGGCTCCTGTAACAGTTTGCACCGTCAGAAATTCTCTTGAGCACTTCTCTGTCCTATGGGTTTGCTGTGAATTGGAATTGGCTCTATGCCCGTGAGTTTGATTTGGTTCCTTTTCAACTTAATCATCCTTCTCTCTTTTAAGAATTACTTTCTCTGTGTATGTGCTTGTGTGTGTGAGAGTGTGTGTGCGCTCTTTCCCATTGAGGATAACACAGTGGACAGACTCCTCTTTCCTTCTTGAACACATCTGCATACTTCTCTAAAGAAAATACTGTCATGTCTTCATGCACTATTGCAGCCGTCTTGTCAACTCTTCTGCAGTCTCATTACCTCTACTCTACCTGCACACTGCTCCCAAAGGCCAGAGAACGTTGAGGAGGCTTTTCCCTCAAACCCCAGGAGATGATTGATAGGTGACTGGTGCATTTGCCCTGAATCAAAATCTCACCTTCTTGAAGGTTTGAAAATTCAGAAAACTGGACTTATCTGTGTACCTTAGAAATGTGATTGGCTCAGCATTTATTAGCTCTGAGAAGTGGGCTTTGATTGGAATACCTAACTCATTCTATCCAGTCTGAGCGAATGAGAAACACAAGACCATCTGTCTCAGGTATGTCTCCCCCACCTGTCCAGGCATCACATTGCTCCCACCCCCTCAATTTCTTCAAGTTATTACCTTTCCACTGGTGTCTTCCCTGATTATCTTAGTTGAGATTGAGTGTTCCCAATTTCCTCTCCTCCCCACTTGCTTGCATCTTCCACTGGGGTGGGCATTCGCATTTACATTTGACTTGTCTCCAGGAAGTCAGAGAGTAAGCTCCACCACAGCAGGAGAGCTGACTCTTGTTGACTGCTGCACCTTCCGTATCCAGTAGGGATTGAGTAAGCACTGAAGTGCTGAATGAACGAATCCCTGTGCAATGTGTAGATAGTTCCACACTTACCCCCCGGTTTTTATTTTTATTTTGTTA